ACTCTCACACACACTCACACACACACACACACACACTCTCTCTCTCTCTCACTCACTCACACACACACACACACACACACACACACACACACGCACACACGCTCTCACACACGCACACACACACACACACACACACACACACACACACACTCTCACACACACTCACACTCACACTCACGCACTCTCACACAGTCACACTCATGCACACTCACACGTGGACACACACCTGGCCCTGCCAGTCCACAGTGTTGATGAGGATGATGTTCTCTGGGAGTCTCTCGTCTGAGATCAGGATCTGATTCAGCTGATCATACACTGATTTCCTGGGCACCTGCACAACACAAACACACATGAAACTAAACTCCCTCTCTGCAGATATACACATACAAATGATTCACACAATAAAAGGTAATGGACACATGATGAGACTGTGGTCACTATCAACCTGAAATCAGAATAAAGTCACTTTTACTGATTCTGTTGGAGTGACAGAGGAGTGTTGATCTGGTGTGTTCTCTTGAGATCTGACGCACCTGTGAGCTGAAGCGGCTGTCGAGCGAATACTCGCTGTCCACGCTGATGGTGCGCTCGCTCTGAGCTCGGGAGTTCTGTCTGTCCTTCATGGATGTGCTGCGAGCGCGCCGCGGGACCCTGCTCTCCGCTTTACTGGAGGTCATAAAGACAGAGATCCCACTCACTCAAGCAGGTCATTTCACTTTCACAAAGCCTGTGAAAGACGCGTGTGAACGTGTACCTGGGACTGCTGTGATTCTGGGACTCAGTCTTGCAGAGTTTCCCACCGGAGCTGTTCAGTCGATCGCTGCTGGGCTCTGACACATCTGCCATTACTATCCCATGATGCTCTGCATCCACCTCCTGCAGAAACACAGCGAGAGACGAATAAATGAACTCATCATATGATTTCTTTGAGGAATAGTTCACATAAACAACATCTGACACGGTGTCATTGAAATATGTCTTCTATTCATCAGTGATGCATTAAAATAAGTGACAGTAAAGACATTTATAATGCTGTAGAAGATTTGTTTCAAATAAATGCTGTTTTTTTAACTTTCTATTCATCTGTGAATCCTGAAAAATAAATATCACAGTTTCCACAAAAATATTAAAGGTGACATATCATGAAAATCTGACTTTTCCAACTTTGTTTTGGGAAGCCTTTTTCTGCAAGCGACACAGATCTAAAATAAACATGAGATTTATTTCCCAGCTGTTTACCTTCAGGTAGCCCATCTGAATTAGGACATTTAGGCTATCCATCTAATAGTAGGCTACCACAATCTTATTAACAGTAGAAGTTAAATCTTACCGTGGTCTTCAAATCTGTGTGCTGTCTTACGTTTTAAAATCACAAAGAGTTTGGTCCCATCAGGCTAACGTGACAGTCACGACTCATGCAGCTGTAAGCTTTTCTTTCTCTTTTGTTTTTACTCGCGATTTTTACAACACGCATTACATTACGTATTTCATGGCACACTGGTTTTATGCGTATTTGCGTCTGTGTCAGAAGTAAAGGTCAGAGGTCACAGCAGGCAGGCAGCTCACTTCCTCTCGGCCTGAATAATGTAGGAAACTCACAGCGAGGGAAAGGGCAAGAGAGACGACATGCAGGGCGGAGCTCAATTAGAGCACAGATCAGCACAGATCTCAGATCAGATCATCTCCACCCAAACCGGTGTCAGCAGGCTTCATTTGTTAAAAAAATATACAACTTAAATATGGGACAGAGTGAAAGGAACTGATCTGATCCAGCTGAGAATTCCCCATCATATTCATTACAGTCAACCGAGATCAGCTGAACAAACTGAGCCCAGAGATGAGAAACACGTGAACCCTGCAGATCTAGCACACGTTCAGCTGAGAGGATTCTGTTTCTGAATATTCTGAATTCAACGTTTAGTTTTAGAATCCATCCTGACCCAATAAGAGGAGGCAATGCTTAAATAACTGAAGACAGAAAACAAGCGTTTGCTTTCAGAAGGAGAGTACTACGAGTGCGTAAGTCATCCAAACCATAGAGTAATGATGCCTCTAAAAACAATTAAAGATTAAATATTCTATTTGGGAATATGTGGGAACCTTTATCTATTTTAAGACAAGAATGCATTATTCCATCTTTGAAGTGACTTAGTTTTTAACTCTTACACTTCAATGTCATTGGTAAATTGAATATTTATTAGTATTATTATTCTCTCAGCACAGGTACTGTTAAGTTGGGATTGGATGGGAATTAATGGGCAGGAAAAAGAGCAAAGTGAATGCCTTGAATGCTAAAAATAAAGGAACACAGAATGTGCTGTGAGCCAATCAGAATGAGGAGCTGAAGCTGTGCTGCGTCAGGTGTGTGTGAGGCTGAGCTCTCACCCCGCCGCTGGTGTCCTCCTGCTGCCGCGAGCCGGCCGTCTCACACCCCTCCACCGACAGGAAGTCAGCAGCCTGCACAGGAAGTCATCAGCACTGATTTACATGTGTATGTGTGTGTGTGTGTGTGTGTGTGTG